TAAATATATATATATATATATATATAAATAAATGTGTATGTGAAATACAAATTTTAAGTTAAATTAACCCCACCATTCTCTGCAGCTTGATAGAACATGACATATCGACAAATATTCTTCCAAATACAAGTATCTCAATATGATTTATCATTAATGCAGTCTACGAAATAATAATTTCTTTAATTATCTTTGAGCATAAAAATAGATAGGAAGTGATTTGAATAGAAAAATCAATATGTATTTTTTTTATCTACTTATATTTTTCTTTTCCATATAAATTAGTTCTGTTTATAGACCATCTTATGCTTTTTGTTATATAATACAATTTTTCAAAAGACAAATCCCATAAATTACAGTGAATAGAAATAATAGATTCCCCTGTTTAAACTTTTTTTTCTTATAAAAGCGTGATTTTTAAATAAAATAAACATTTTTTTATGTATTTGTTTAAATAAACAGTTTTCTATTTTTTTTAATAAGACAACTTTATCTACTTCTTAAATAATTATTTTTTTAAAAAAGTATTTAAAAACATTTATTTTAAGTTTAAATAAGCGAACCCAATATTCAAAAAAAAAACACTCATTCTTTTGTGAAAGTCTACCCACTTTTATTATAATAAAAAAATACAATATTTCATACTTTTATATATATATATATATATAAACATGTTTTAATAAAAAGAAACAACCTTATTCCCTACTTATATATTTTCGTGAATAGGCAAGTAATTTGATAAATAAATTATAAAAAAAAACTTTCTTTGTTAAATATTATCAAGCCAAATATAATTGCAAATATATTAGTTGCTTATTTATTTGAAGATATCAACCATGCATGCATGAGAAACTGCATAGTCACACTCGTATTTGCTTTTCCCCCCATATTACGTTACTCTTGGTGCGTAAGAATACTTGGCATCTTCACTAAAGAATCTCTATTCTCTACGCACCAAGAAATGCATCTCACCTCAGATATCATAATCTTTTCCCAGCTCCAACTTCTTCATTGAATTGAGCGTGGTAGTCGAAGAACTGAAGATACTGTTCATTAAGATGAGACCTTCTAACAAATGCTTCTCTTCCTTCACTTATTGGTTTTCTCACTTTGTGGTTCTTTTGTTCATAACTTCACTAGTTTTTGTTTCTTGCCGTAGTCTTCTCTCTCCAAATTTCTCTTCATCTCATTTTTCTTGGAGTTGGAGAGGAAAACCAACTTCCTCTTTGGATACAGAAAAGAAAAGAGCTTCAATATTACATGATGATGAAGCTCCATCTCCTACTGCATTTGCTTCAGATCTTTATGGTTCTCGAGAATTCAACGAGGTATATATATATCTACCTATTTCAACAACTTGTTAGAAGTCACCAAGTCTTGGTTTCATTTAACTTTTTAATTCCTTTTATTATAGGGTACGTACTTTATCATCCTTTTTTCTTTTTGTGGGGTTTCTTTTCTTTTTCTTGGTATGTCTTTTGGGTGATGAAAAGCTTGACACCAAGTTTAAGCATAAAGGGAACCTTAGAGCTCACAAGTACAGCAAGTTGAGAAGAATTGAAGCAACATTGGCTAAAGCAAGGTATTCCATCAGAGAAGCTAGCAAAATTCGAAATTTGACATCAACCTTCCATGATCCAGACTATGTTCCTCGAGGTCCAATTTACAGAAACGCCAATGCCTTCCATAGGTACATGATTAATATTTTTTTGGTCTAATTCATGCATGATTATATGACCTTATCATGCAGAGATTTTATTCTTTTTAGTGAGTGAGTTATTGCATGACAACACCACCTTGTATTTAAATTGTTACACGTTCTTGAACATTAAGAAAAGTGGAAATTATGGCTATAAAGAATTCGAAATTGAACATCATAAAAGTTGACCTGATCATTTCACTCTACTATAGTTTCTATTAATTGTATAGTAATTTGTTCACAGGAGTTACCTAGAGATGGAAAGGCTGTTCAAGATTTTTGTGTATGAAGAAGGGGAGCCACCGATGTTCCACGATGGTCCAAGCAAAGATATATATGCCAGTGAGGGAAGAATCATACATGAAATGGAAAAGGGGAGGTACTATCGTACCTATGATCCAGATGAAGCTTTTGTGTATTATCTTCCCTTCAGTGTGGTTATGATAGTTGAACATGTGTACGACCGTGGCTCCAATTATAATGTAGATCCGATTGGCCTTGTTGTGAAAGACTACATACATATTGTATCTCATAAACATTCCTTCTGGAATCGATCGATGGGCCATGATCATTTCATGCTCTCTTGCCACGATTGGGTAAGTAATAAGCTCTCTCCCTCTCTTTGGTAAAAGGGAATTGAATTCCCTACTTTTGGGACAAAATTTATATCAAGTTATTTAATTTTGGTGGTTAAGTTGTCAAATTAAACAATCATGAACAAATCACCCGACACATCTATAAAACTCTAAATCAACGTATCTAACATATTTAGAACATGATATTTGTCAGACATGCATCCAGCACTCCTTTACCGTGTTACAATTAAAAATTATTATTTATTTGGTTCGAACACTTCTAAGATAAAGCCTTAATTCCTTTCCAACATGATATAGACGTAAGTCAATACCAATTTTTAGTTAAATACTTATCTAACACTTCTATTATAAATAAAAAATTAAAAATCAACTTATTTATAAATATTAGAAGGCTTGTAACATTTGTTTATATGTTGTGAGAGGTTCATTTTTAAGAATTATATTTTAGACATTAACTGTGTCAGTGTCCAAATCGATGCTTCATGGCGTGTAATTTTTAAATGCTAAATAACATTTACTAAGAATAAATTGCAGTATTATAAAAATGTATTCATGTATCATTGTTTCGAAAATTTTAATAGTAAAGGTATAAGAAAGTTAATATAAGGATATCTAATGTACATTTGAATTAGTTCATTTTAAAATATTTAAAGGAAAGCATTTTTTTTCACAAAAAAACCGAGCCAACACACATTAATTTCAACTTTGTGGCCTTCAATATTATGGATGTGACAGAAATTTTGCTGAGTTGCTACCCTTTATCTATTAATACTATTTGGGTACTGGACAGGGTCCATTAGCATCTAGTTTCGTAGATCGCTTGTTCAACAATGCCATTAGGGTTCTTTGCAATGCAAATACATCTGAAGGATTCAAGCCAGCAAAGGATGTGTCGTTTCCTGAGATGAATCTTAAGACAGGGGAAGTCACAGGCCTAGTTGGAGGGTATCCTACATCTCAAAGGACTATCCTTGCTTTCTTTGCAGGTCACTTGCATGGCTATATAAGATACCTACTCTTAGATAGTTGGAAAAACAAAGACCAAGATGTGCAAGTCTATGAGGAACTTCCTCAGGGAATCTCTTACCACACCAAGCTTAGAAGCAGCAAGTTCTGCCTATGTCCAAGTGGTTATGAAGTAGCTAGTCCCAGAATAGTGGAAGCAATATTTGCAGAATGTGTACCAGTACTGATATCTGATAACTATGTTCCACCCTTTAGTGATGTTTTGAATTGGAGTTCATTTTCAGTTCAAGTGGATGTGAAGGACATTCCCAACATCAAAAAGATACTCATGGGCATTTCAGAAAGGCAGTACTTGAAGATGCAAAGGAGAGTGAAACAAGTGCAAAGGCATTTTGTGCCTAATGAACCCCCAAAGAGGTATGATATGTTCCATATGACTATCCATTCTATTTGGCTCAGGAGGTTGAATATCCATATTCGAGATCAGTAATATCAATTGAACCAGACACATTGTATAGCATGTACAGCATCAAGAGGTTGCTCATATGTACTGAAGTGATTATTAATGACCAATACAATTAGCAGATTTTGTACATTTAGAAAATTGTTTGCTCTTTTGTTTGTTTAAAGTAAAACCCTTGAATGTAGAGATTGACTAGTAGTGATTACGTATAAGTAATAACAGATGCATCATTATAAATATGATCCATTGCTTGACCTGAATTTTTGAGAAAGAGATTGTAGTAACTTGCAAGTACTTTTTCTCATTCTGATTTTTTTAAGTGTGGCCCTGCTTCATTCTCAAAACGAAGTGAGAAATTTTAGACATCATTACATGGCTGAGATTATTGTTCATTGAACTCTTACCATCTATTTCATATAAAAAGCATCCGAATAAAACTTACTTGGAGATAGCATGGAAAGGTAATTTAGATTTTAGCACGTAATCAGACAATTATTGTTCTCATGTCGATTTAGAATGAAATCAGACAACTATTATTCTCATACATAGCGACGATTGTGATACACCACGTACTATATTACAAGAACAGAGCCATAATTATATAATACACGTAAACAGGTGACTTCATACATAAAAAAAGGGTGACTTCTAAAAAGTACAATATTTTAACAAAGTACACAAGAATTTGAGTGCCTTAACTAATTTGGAATTCGCCACTTGCATGAACCTCTTTGACCCTCTTATCATACTCATCTTCTTCATCCTCCTCTTCCTCCACCTCTTCATCCAAATCTTCTTCACCTTCCCAGCCAAAACCTTTGACAGGCCTAGATACTGGAGGTGGATTTCTTGCCTCTCCCACAATTTTCATTATCTCGTCCACACTTTGAAGTTGAAAGTTTGGGCTGTCTCTCTGGTAATAAATAGCTTGAGCGGATTCAGTTAGCTCCCTTGGAAGATTCTTTAAAAACCATGGATGATTCTTAATTTCCTTAATAGTAATTCTCTGTAAAATATACAGAAAATGGTCCAGCAGTTAGCTCTGCATGAAAAGAAGTACAAGGGAGAGAAAAGAAGACCAAAATCGTGTTCTTGCTGATAAGATACACAGAAAAGTCAAAAAGTAAGAAATGGGACACTCCAATCATACTAATCCACTAAAAACAAATTGATCAGATGATGAAGATAAAATAAAGGCTGGGTGTAAATTTCCTCTTTAGATATAGCTTTCATTTCAATCAACAATAAGGTTTATTTTAGCAAAAAGTTTCTTTTGAATATTTTCTGTTCATTAGCAAAATGGTTTACAAGTAAACATAATACTTACAAATATATAACCAAATTTCAAGGAAGCGTAACCAAATTAGTTCCTTAAGCATCAGAACTTACCCTCAATGGATTTGCAACAAATATACGGGAGATGAGATGTCTACAATCTTGAGATATGTGAACATAATCAGGGATTTTGTATTGAACGGCCATTATACGCTGTAGAATAGGACAAAAAATTAGGTTAAGAATGATGTGAAAATAACATAAACATTATGCAAATCATATTGAAAGGGAGGAAACATATTACATACCTGAATTGTTTTCCTAAAATTCCTAGGGTCATCCTGGTCCTCAAACGGATATGCTCCAACCAGCATGACATAAAGTGTCACCCCACATGACCATACATCAGCCAACTAAAACAATATTTAAAACAAAAAAAAATTATAGAATCATTAATGGACTGGTTTAAAAGTGAGTATGTAAAATAATCAAAACATACTTCGTTACAAGTAGCATATCAGAAGAACAAAGCAACAAAACTAGGGATGAGTAATCGTTTAGTTATAACACAAATCCCATTAGACAATCCCCTCAACACATACACAAAAAAGCAAAGTTTCCAGTGACATGCAGCAGGCTATAAGGGTGAAGTGTTAAGATCCAACACATAAATAAATCAGAAGCAAGGAACTTTAAAAAACCAATTCAATGTGCAGCTAATATAGCACCTTTCCGTCGTACTCTCGCCTAGAAAGAACTTCCGGAGCTATATAAGCCGGTGTTCCAACAGTTGATTTTGGTCGCGAATGCAGCAAAGATGACTACATCACAAACGATAAACATTCAGCACATGTTTGGATGCGTGTTCGGGATCCATATCTAAGACAGAATCATGTCAATTTTGATAGAAAAATAAATAACTAATAGTTGCTTCTGCAGATCCACGTCAAGTGGCATCAGATTTGTTACCAGACACACACTCGATGATACTAATTCCAATACCTTGGAATAACCAAAGTCACAAATTTTTAACCGAGGTGCAGGACTTCCATCTAGAAGGGTATTTTCAAGCTTCAAATCTCTGTGGCATATTTGCTGCAAAATAAAAGTAAAAGCATAAGTTCCCACCAAGTAAATTTCTGTAAGTGCCATGATTTTACATGAATATGAGCCTGAGCATACCATGGTATGACAGAAATGGACACCGGAGATAAGCTGCTGAAAGAAATATCTGGCCTGAGCAAGTGAACAACATTACAACCAAAGGAAAAAAGTGAGAAGAAATAACACTGAAACAAAACCAGTGGAGAAAAATGTCATAGTATGTGAAGGTATTAACCTCATCTTCACTGAACCTGCCAGCACTGCATATCCTCTCAAAGAGCTCTCCTCCTGCTGCATACTCCATCACTATTGCCAAATGCGTGGGAGTCAAAACCACCTGCAAAATCAACATCGCATTGAAAGAAAAGCAAATAATTCACTACAGTGCAGTGCTCAACACAAAGTGGTCCAACAGGTTAAATAAAAGAAGAAAATTAAATTCCTCGCCTCCTTGTAACGAATTATATTGGGATGCCGGAGGGACCTGTGGTTCATAATCTCCCTTGCCACATTCTCATCAATCTGAAAATTGAAGTAGAAGAAAAAAATGTCAAAATTGAGCCTTTGATTTATTTCCTTTAAGAAGAATAATATTAAATCATGACCATACAGTAGATGCATTGAGAGTATAAAGATACCATCCAATCATAAACCACTATGCATAGTGTTAGTAAGTTTAACTAACTTAAAAGTCATATATAACAGTGATTTTTGATGTCACACAGAATTAAACTCATAAATCATCAAGTCTTTGTTGAGTTCTGCTTCAAGTGGTACCTTCTTTGTAAGTGCTTAATAATAAAAACATAAAAGGGGTTGTGAAAAATGAAAAATTGATGGAATGATTGTAGAAAAGGAGAAACCTTGTGGCCACGCTCGATGTATTTCATGGCTACGAGCTCCTTGGTGAGCTTGTTCCTCATAAGCCTAGCGACCCCAAAATTGCCAGCTCCCAAATCCTTAACGGCCTCGTACTTATCCATAATGGGAGTATAGAATCACAACACCATTCTATGTGATCAAAGGGTTATAAAAAGAGAATTGTAAGTAGCGTTGGAACTTGGTTATTTATGGTTATATTTGTCAGTTGCTGTGTTACTTTATCCATTAATCATGGAATCATTGAGCAGAGAGTGTGTGTTGGTTGCTGTTGGATCTTTAAAAACGGCGTTTCGGTTGGGGGTAATAAACAAGCTTTCCATCATTCACTACCCTTAGCCTCCAACATCTTCACAGACTCCTTTGTCTCTGGGTCCCATCAAGACCAAATTAATTTTAATCAAATTATTTGTTTAAATTTAAGTGGTAATTGTCAAAAGGAGAACACACAAGAATTTAAATATTATTATTTGTTATTATTCTTTTTTTAAGTATTTCGTCCACAGTGTGAAAACTCATCTCACTAGATACTCTCACAAATATTTCAGAGATTAGTCTTTGCTATCCAGTGAGCTTGTGACAAGATAAATTTTTTCTTAAAATATTTAATTTGTTTCTACGGGTAATTTCTCAGAACACTCACTCTTACGACTAACAACCTAACAACATCTTTGACTATGAGCTGTTTAAATAGGTTGTTTCCTATGAATTTTCGGGTCCTATAATACTAAAAATGTCTTAGAATGGCCCCACTATATAATTTACTCTCTCATATAGGATAGTAATTTGAGAGACTCTCCCGTAACATTACATTTTGGAAAGTTTTGGAACTTTTTCTACGTGGCATAATTATAATGGTTAAGTAAGCCAAGTCACTTAAATGAATAGCAAACTTTTAAAAATTGTAAAATAGTCCTAGGTGTTAGGTAAATTCTTGGATGGACCACTTATACAAGTAATGTATTATACACCCTATCACACAAGATTAAAGTTTCTAAATTTTTTATTTAAATAATTATTTTATAAAAAAAAATTACCCAAAAACACATGTTCCAATGTACTGACACAACAACTATTAACGTTTGGAACGGGCCGTTCTGAAATAAGAACGGCCCGTTCCAGATGAAATAATAACACATGAAGAATGGATCAGAACGGGCAATTCCGGATGAAAAAATAACACATGACGAATGAATCAGAACGGCCCGTTCTGGTTTAACTAGTCATGTGTTATTTTTGAACCTGGAACGGGTCGTTCCAGATTCAAAAAAATACATGACCAGTTAAACTAGAACGGGTCGTTCTGATTTCGGAATGGGCCGTTCTGGCCAGATAGGTCAACGTATGGAACAATAAACGTGAACACACATAAATGGGTCATCCAATGCAAGGCTCATTGTTTCACACACAAGAATACATGGAATGGTACATGGCCAATTCCATCTATTTTTTATCTATGTTACGACTATTATCACAAATTAACATAAATCCTAAACCCTAAACCCTAAACACATTTTACTGTGTATTTCTTAATTGATGAAGCATTGACAAGTAGATAACAGTTTTATCCTCAAAAGCCCCATGGAAGTCCTAAACTCATTCTACCCACATATAGCCCATACAAATAACCTTCAACCTAGAATATTTGGGTGTGTCTCCTTTGTGCATGTTCACAGTAATGGAAGGGGAAACTTGACCCAAGAGGAATAAAATGTGTTTTCTTGGGGTACTTAGCCACAGAAAAAGGATATAAGTGTTTTCATCCTCCATCCCAAAAATTCTGTGTCAAGGGATGTTACTTTCAATGAGCGAATAAGCTACTTTAGCCAGCCTCATCTTCAGGGGGAGAATTTAAGAGAGGAAGATGAGCCTTTCATACTACCAAATCTGTCCTTTGGACCAGAAATTGGAAAAAATACTGTTGGACCAGAAATTCAAAAGAATACTACCATTATATGTGAAGCTGAAGCTGAAGAGGAACAAGTAAAGGTGAATCAAATTCCTACACCTGCAGGACCAACAACTGATGCAGGAACAACAATTAGACCACATGATGATACAAAATTTGGGAAAAATATAGTGTAAACACGAAGAGGAAAGGCCATTCCAAGATTTTCTCATGTCCAAGAATCCAACCCTATATCATTACATGAGGTAAATCCTTTTGATCCTATAAATTCTAATTCTACTAATTGTGATGGATTTCCTTCTAAAAAACCAGCTGCACATGTGGACCATAACTTGGACCTCCCAATTGCCCTTAGAAAAGGAACCAGAACCTGCACCAAACAACAACCTTACCCCTTGACAAATTATCTATCATTTGAAAAATTCTCACCTACCCATAAAACCTTTCTCACAAGCCTAAACACCACAACTACTCCTTCTTCTGTATCTGAGGCATTAATCGACAAAAAATGGAAACAAGCCATGGAATTGGAGATGGAAGCATTGGAGAAAAACAATACTTGGAAGCTAGTCACCCTACCACCTGGAAAAAAACCGGTTGGGTGCAAGTGGGTTTATACAGTGAAATACCGGGCTGATGGGACGATTGAGAGGTATAAGGTGAGGTTGGTGGCCAAAGGGTTCACTCAAACATATGGAGTGGATTACTTGGAGACTTTTGCACCAGTTGCCAAAATGAACACGGGCAGAGTAATTTTGTCATTGGCAGCAAACCACGATTGAGACTTGCAACAATTTGATGTAAAAAATGCATTCCTACATGGGGATCTTGAAGAAGAAATATACATGGAGGTACCACCCGGGTATACAAGGCAGATTGAGGCCAACACAGTTTGCAAGCTAAAAAAGACATTATACAGGTTGAAACAATCACCTAGAGCATGGTTTGGGAGATTCAACAAAGTCATGAAAAGCCTTAAATACAAACAGAGCCAAGGGGACCACACTTTATTTATCAAGCATTCTGATTTAGGGGGACTAACAGTACTATTGGTCTATGTGGATGATATCATTGTCACTGAGAATGATAAAAAGGAACAACAAAGGTTGAGTCAATGCCTTGCCAAGGAATTCGAAATCAAGACCTTAGGAAAGCTAAAATATTTTTTGGGGATTGAAGTAGCCCATTCCAAGAAAGGGATCTTCATATCTCAACAAAAATATATTACTGACTTGCTAAAGGAAACAGGTAAGACAGCTTGTAAACCAACAAGTACACCAGTTGACCCAAATATAAAGTTGGGAAGTGCGGAGGAGGATGTTGCTGTGGATAAAGAAATGTACCAAAGACTTGTGGGAAGACTCATTTACCTATCTCACACTAGGCCAGAGATTGCCTTTGTTGTGAGCCTAGTCGGCCAATTTATGCACCAACCAAAGGAAGCACATTTATAAGCTGCCCTTAGAATTGTCCAGTATTTAAAAGGGACTCCAGGAAGAGGAATTTTGTTCAAAAGAAACAAGAATGTTAGTCTTGAGGCATATATGGATGCTAATTATGTAAGTTCAGTTGTGGATAGGAGGTCAATTACTGGATATTGCACCTTCCTTGGTGGAAACCTAGTAACTTGGAAGAGCAAAAAACAAAGTGTGGTAGCTAGATCTAGTGCTGCAGCAGAATTTCGAGCAATGGCCCAAGGAATATGCGAACTTTTATGGCTGAAGATTATATTGGAAGAGTTAAGGATAAAGTGGGATGAGCCTATGAGGTTATATTGTGACAATAAATCTGCAATTAGTATAGCCCACAATCCGATATAGCATGATAGAACTAAACATATTGAGGTGGACAGACATTTTATTCAAGAAAAGCTTGATAGTGGCTTGATTTGCACCCCATATGTGTCCACTCAAGGTCAACTTGTAGACATACTCACCAAGGGGCTGAACAACAGTAACTTTGAAAGAATTATATCCAAGCTGGGAATGGAGAACACTTATTCACTAGCTTGAGGGGGAGTGTCAAAATATATTTTAGGAAGTTTTAGATATTATTCCTACTGTATTTTAATTCTGTATATTTGTTGTATCTTGCTATTATTACTACAATAACAATCCCACAATTAGAGGGATTTGTTCCCTAGAATAGGCTGTCCTTATTTCCTAAAATAGGCAACAGACTCATATGTATATATATTTGATGTATCTCATGATTAAAATAATAAGATATTATTTCTTCTAAATTTAAGAAGTTTAATAGAGGCAACCCTAGAATTGTGCTTACTTGGTGGACCCATTATCCCTGGTTACAAATTTTTTTGGCGAACCGAACCCCATTTTCTGCCACTCTTTACTGCTTTTGTCACCCGTTTTCTGGCGAACCCTCTAGTCTTCACCACCCCCACTGCTTCTTCGATGACATTTTTGGTTGGAGGCACCACCATCAAGTGTGCCATGCACCAATTTACCGAGGTTGGAGAAATCACCTTGATTAATTGCTCAAGGGGAGTTGTCTACCATGATGTTTAGACCTGAAGATGTGTCTTCTTGGGCAATTTGAAGTACTATGTACTGGAGATGTTGATCTACTCAAGCATTCATTACAAGGAGAAGGACAGGATCTATTAAGTTATGGCCGGAATAAACAATGATCATATTATAAATCAAGTACTTGGGAAGGACCTATCCTTGCTTAATGAGACAATGGTTGTATTTCAGGCAGAAGCAACTCATACAGGAGTAATGCTACAATTTCACCCAACTGAAAGTTCTATCTTGGTTGGCTGTTGCATATACCAAGGTGAAGGAGGTTCGACAAGGGAAATTCACTTAACCTTGGAATAGAGTAGGAGGGATGGATATGCCTAAGTCATAAATACTAGGATATATCCCTAATTACCATAATTTCATAAAGATGACCATAATTATCTTCTTTACATTAACAATTCATAATCTACTGGTTTACAGGTTGTGGAGAAGCTTGTAGACTTTGTCCATTTTTTGCATTTGGAGATAAACAATGCCTTTGGTAGAGCAGGTTTGTACCCACTAAAGGCCACTAGATCTTACTTGCTTCACTTGTTTTGTAATGCTGTTTTAGTGTCACTTAATGTAATAAGTAATAACTATTGGTTCTTATCAATGTGATGACTTGGTTAACACAGGTGATAGCCACTGCTAATCTTGGCTATGTTAGCCTTATTTTTTAGTAATTATTATTTTAAATTAGAGATTGGGGGGGGGGGGGGGGATTATTATTTTCAAATAGAACACACATTTGATGATAAATGTGTTAAACCTTAGGACAAGATTTAAGGTCTATATGATTGTTTTCTATATTAACACTTCAGAAGAAAAAGTCACTCTAACTCAGAAGTTTGATCTTGCAGTATAATGAACAATATTTGTTTTTGTAGTCTTTGATAGATATATACTTGTGACCTTCAGTATCTCTCTTCATCATACAGGTGATAACCTTGCGTTGTTAAGGGTGGAAATTAAAAGTCAAAGGAAGTACATTAGACATTTAAAGAAAAAATCACTCTGGTATAGAAGTTTAGATGAGGTAACTTCAGATTGCTCCTCTGCACGATGTGTTTATCTTTACCCTCACACAGTCTCCCCCTGTTTATTTAATCCTCATTTAGACTATCATTGTATCTGACCCATGTATAATGCCATTTGTTGAAAATCAGAATACTATTTTGATTTATTGTAATATAGCGGTTTATATGCATGTAATATCTGATTTAGGAGAAACAAAATATCCTCTAATTATATGTATTTATTGTAATAAGCCTATATAAACAAGTATCTAAGGTGTATTCAAACTCTATGGTTTCAGCCTATCATGCCTATTTTATCTCTGTTAACATGGTATTAAGAGTTTGATAGATTAAGAGAAAAAGAGTTTTGTCAAAATATATTTTAGGAAGTTTTAGATATTATTCCTACTATATTTTAATTCTGTACATTTGTTGTATCTTGCTATTATTACTACAATAACAATCCCACAATTAGAGGGATTTGTTCCCTAGAATAGGCTGTCCTTATTTCCTAAAATAGGCAACAGACTCATGTGTATATATATCTTTGTATCTCATGATTAAAATAATAAGATATTGTTTTCTAAATTTAAGATGGTTTCAGAGCTCCTTATCCTTGGGAGCCTCTGACTGTGATTTGATTGCAGCCTTCATTGTTGCACAACCCTAGAATTCCATCGCATCCGTCATTGCTACGCAACCCTAGAATTCCATCGCAGCCTTCATTGCTGCACAACCCTATAATTCCATTGCAGCCTTCATTACTGTGTGATCCCAAACACTCATCACAGCTTCTATTGCTGTGTGCTTCCCTACTGCTCCTGAATCGATCTGATTTTCTGTGCCTTAATTGCACATATTTGTAATGGCTGAAATGGAAAATGGGGACAAGTTCCAGAATACGGTTGAGCTGCAAAATGTCCATTGAGCCTATCGATTGAATGAAAAAAATTCTCTCAAATGGTCTCAACTCATTAAGACCATCTTGAAAGGGATAGGAAAGGTCAGCCATCTAACTGATGATGCCCCTGCTGAAGAAGATGCCAAATTCAAGTCATGGGATGAAGAAGACTCCATGATTATGGCATGGCTATGGAACTCAATGGTTCCAGAAATTAGCGATACCTGCATGTTCCTTAATTCTGCGAAGGCAATATGGATTGCAGTAGAGCAAACCTACTCTAAGGCAAAGGATGCTGCCTAGATTTATGAGGTGAAGGTAAAAACTATGGTAGCCAAACAGGGCACTAAAACTATCACTGAATATGCTAATCAACTCAAATCATTATGGATGGAATTGGATCATTACAGGGTTATAAAGGCCAAGTGTTCTGAGGATTCAGCAATTCTAAGGGATTACATTGAACAAGACCGGGTGTATGACTTCTTGGTAGGCCTAAACCAAGAATATCATCAAGTCAGGATCCAAATATTGGGAAAGGAGAAGGTTCCTGGACTCAATGAAGTAGTAGCAATTGTTCGGAGTGAAGAGAGTAGAAGAAGCCTAATGCTAGAGACCCCAATTGTGGATAGTTCAGCTATGATTGTTGAAGGAGCAACAACCATGGTTGTGGAACAAAAGAAAGTAGGCCTTCTTCCAAATCTAGAGAAGAAAAATGAAGGAGTATGGTGCACCTATTGCAACAAGTCACGCCACACAAGGGACAAATGTTGGAGGTTGCATGGAAAACCTCAAAGCAAAGATTGGGGACACAAAGGAGGCCCTCCAAGGAGAGGGGGGCAAGCTCATGTTGCTGCTGGTCCTGAAAGTCAAGGAGGATCCGTCCAACTCAACCATGAGGAGTTAGAGAGAGTAAGATCCTTTCTTAGTAAATTGAAGAAACCCATAGGTACATGTTCGTTGACATACTCTGGTAAGTTCCCATTTTCTTGTGGATTTAATGTCTTAAATACACCCTTTACCCATTATTGGATTCTAGACTCTGGAGCCACAGACCATATGACACCACTCCCTAAACACTTTTCCACATATTCTCCATGTCCCAGTAACAAGAAAATTTTCACAGCTGATGGAACCCTTATAATTGTAGCTGGACAAGGAGATGTCCAAATAACCCCAACCATAATACTAAAAAATGTTCTTCATGTCCCTAAATTGTCCACAAATCTGATATCTATCCAAAAACTTACAGAGGACCTCTTATGTAATGTGATATTTTATAGCAACTCTTGTATATTGCAGGACAAGAAATCAGGGAGGACGATTGGACATGCTAGAGAATGGAATGGCCTTTACTACATGGAAGATCTGAATCTGCCCATTGAGAGTCTCTCTCTGATATCTGAGTCTGTCATAACCAACAAAGAAAAAGATTAGTTGATTCATTTTCGTTTGGGACATCCTTCATTTTGGGTCATAAAGTTACTGTTCCCTTCCTAGTTTAAAAATTTAAATCTGGAGAGTCTTCATTGTGAGGTGTGTGAGCATGCCAAACACAAGTGTGTACCTTTTCCTATTAGCAATAAAATAAGCACTTCTTCATTTTATCTTGTTCATACGGATGTGTTGGGGCCCCTCTAATGTCCCTAATATCTCAGGGGCTAAATGGTTTATAACCTTTATAGATGATTGTACAAGGGTAACGTGGCTTTTCCTTCTTAAACACAAATATGAGGTTAGCTCTGTTTTCCTACAATATGTTTCAGTGATTAAAAATCAATTTGGGATTAATATCAAGAAACTTAGGTCTAATAATGCCAAAGATTACTTCAATCATACCCTAAATTCTTTATGCCAAAAGGAAGGGATAACTCATGAATTCTCATGTGTACACACACCCCAACAAAATGGGATTGCAGAAAGGAAAAATGGGCACTTACTAGACCAAACTAGAGCACTCATGTTTCAAAATAATGTTCCAAAATTTTTTTGGGGGGAAGCCATACTCACTGCCACTTAATTAATTAATAGACTACCCTCTACAGTTTTATCCTCAAAAGCCCCATGGAAGTCCTAAACTCATTCTACCCACATATAGCCCATACAAATAACCTTCAACCTAGAATATTTGGGTGTGTCTCCTTTGTGCATGTTCACAGTAATGGAAGGGGAAACTTGACCCAAGAGGAATAAAATGTGTTTTCTTGGGGTACTTAGCCACTTGGGCCTAGTTTTGGGCTTCATGGGCTTTTGATTGCTTCAGAGCTTAGCGAGCCCAATGGATTTGGAGGGCCTAGGGTTCTCTTTACTTGGGCTTTACATGGATGACCGGAAACTTGACCCAAGAGGAATAAAATGTGTTTTCTTGGGGTACTTAGCCACAGAAAAAGGATATAAGTGTTTTCATCCTCCATCCCAAAAATTCTGTGTCAAGGGATGTTACTTTCAATGAGCGAATAAGCTACTTTAGCCAGCCTCATCTTCAGGGGGAGAATTTAAGAGAGGAAGATGAGCCTTTCATACTACCAAATCTGTCCTTTGGACCAGAAATTGGAAAAAATACTGTTGGACCAGAAATTCAAAAGAATACTACCATTATATGTGAAGCTGAAGCTGAAGAGGAACAAGTAAAGGTGAATCAAATTCCTACACCTGCAGGACCAACAACTGATGCAGGAACAACAATTAGACCACATGATGATACAAAATTTGGGAAAAATATAGTGTAAACACGAAGAGGAAAGGCCATTCCAAGATTTTCTCATGTCCAAGAATCCAACCCTATATCATTACATGAGGTAAATCCTTTTGATCCTATAAATTCTAATTCTACTAATTGTGATGGATTTCCTTCTAAAAAACCAGCTGCACATGTGGACCATAACTTGGACCTCCCAATTGCCCTTAGAAAAGGAACCAGAACCTGCACCAAACAACAACCTTACCCCTTGACAAATTATCTATCATTTGAAAAATTCTCACCTACCCATAAAACCTTTCTCACAAGCCTAAACACCACAACTACTCCTTCTTCTGTATCTGAGGCATTAATCGACAAAAAATGGAAACAAGCCATGGAATTGGAGATGGAAGCATTGGAGAAAAACAATACTTGGAAGCTAGTCACCCTACCACCTGGAAAAAAACCGGTTGGGTGCAAGTGGGTTTATACAGTGAAATACCGGGCTGATGGGACGATTGAGAGGTATAAGGTGAGGTTGGTGGCCAAAGGGTTCACTCAAACATATGGAGTGGATTACTTGGAGACTTTTGCACCAGTTGCCAAAATGAACACGGGCAGAGTAATTTTGTCATTGGCAGCAAACCACGATTGAGACTTGCAACAATTTGATGTAAAAAATGCATTCCTACATGGGGATCTTGAAGAAGAAATATACATGGAGGTACCACCCGGGTATACAAGGCAGATTGAGGCCAACACAGTTTGCAAGCTAAAAAAGACATTATACAGGTTGAAACAATCACCTAGAGCATGGTTTGGGAGATTCAACAAAGTCATGAAAAGCCTTAAATACAAACAGAGCCAAGGGGACCACACTTTATTTATCAAGCATTCTGATTTAGGGGGACTAACAGTACTATTGGTCTATGTGGATGATATCATTGTCACTGAGAATGATAAAAAGGAACAACAAAGGTTGAGTCAATGCCTTGCCAAGGAATTCGAAATCAAGACCTTAGGAAAGCTAAAATATTTTTTGGGGATTGAAGGGGTACTTAGCCACAGAAAAAGGATATAAGTGTTTTCATCCTCCATCCCAAAAATTCTGTGTCAAGGGATGTTACTTTCAATGAGCGAATAAGCTACTTTAGCCAGGACTTTTGATTGCTTCAAAGCTTACTGAGCCAATGAGTTTGGTGGGCCTAGGGTTCTCTTTACTTAGACTTTACATGGATGACCACCTTTCTCATATATTTGGTAGTATAGGAGTTTATATTGTTTGGTCTTGTATTATGGGCCTTAGTATAAGACTTTTTGGATTTTAAGCTTATTGGGCCTAATTTTGGGCTGCATGGGCCTTTGTGCTTTTGATTGCTTTAGAGCTTAGTGAGCCCAATAGGTTTGATAGGCCTAGGGTTCTCTTTACTTAGACTTTACATGGATGACCACCTTTCTCATATATTTGGTAGTATAGGAGTTTATATTGTTTGGCCTTGTATTATGGGCCTTAGTATAAGACTTATTGGATTTTAAGCTTATTGGGCCTAATTTTGGGCTGCATGGGCCTTTGTGCTTTTGATTGCTTTAGAGCTTAGTGAGCCCAATAGGTTTGATAGGCCTAGGGTTCTCTTTACTTAGACTTTACATGGATGATCACCTTTCTCATATATTTGGTAGTATAGGAGTTTATATTGTTTAGTCTTGTATTATGGGCCTTAGTATAAGACTTTTTGGGTTTTAAGCTTATTAGGCCTAGTTTTAGACTTCATTCATAGGATGCTTCATGTCATTGAGAAAAATGTCGAGATGTAAGTATAAGACTTTTTGGATTTTAAGCTTATTGGGTCTAACTTTGGGCTTCATGGGCCTTTGGGCTTTTGATTGCTTCAGAGCTTAGTGAGTCCAATGGGTTTGGTGGGTGTAACGACCCGGCAGGCCACTACACTCACAATCACAGCACACCGGAAACACTAGACAGAATAGAACGAGTATATAAATATAGGATCTAGAATATAAATATATACAAATGTCCTAATCCGACTAGAGTTAGGGCGTACAATACAAAAATTACATCAAAGCCACTATGCCAAGTGATTGAGACAAACAAAACATCAAAAGAACTTAGCTCCACCTGTCAGCTACAGATTCACCACTGCCCACCACCTATCCCTGCTCTGCTCCCATACATGTATGATCATCACAGTCCAACCACATGGAAAACAAAAAGGGTAAGCTAGCATAAAAAGAAACCACATAAAAGAAGATTTAAGTAACAAGAACAACTATAATTTATCAACACTTCATCAATATGTACCCCGTCAATCCTTACAATATAATTATCCATACTCATACAATGCGTCGTCACGCATATCAACTCGGAGATCTCCTACAACAACTCAGCCTTTCGGCCTACAACAACTCAGCCATTATGGCCTACAGCAACTCATCCAACAATCAACACAACTTTTCTACATTCAACACAATACAACTTTTAACAACACAATTAATTATAGATCAACATTATCAACAGTATTATCTACAAATCCTCACATCATATCCAACAATTTCAACTCACCTCATCATAAAACAACCTTCTACAGCATATAGTGAATTGTCATATTCGCGCCCGACGCACTCGTGGTTGCGCCCAGCGCGGCACAACCAGAGAGCACCAGGGACCAACACGCTCGACGCAATACATATTGCGCCCGTCGTGAGGAAAGGCAGAGACCTCACAGGATCTCACATGCCCGGCGTACGAACTCGCACCCAGCGCAGGGTAGGCAGAGACTTTCTCCAAGTCTCACGCTCGGCCCAATATATATTGCGCCTAGCGCCACCTCTAGCAGAGACTCCTATGGAGTCTCCACGCCCGGCAAGACAAAGCCAAGCCCGGCGCCACACCAGAACCTCAAAACTTGAGTCATACACTGATATCGCGCTCAGCGCGGTTCCACCACGCCCAGCGAGGGCCATCCAGAGACTCATGTCCTCAAGCCCGCCCGGCGCATTCACCATTGCGCCCAGCGTGCTTGCCTAAATGGAGTCTCTAATGGTCACGCGCCCGGCGCGAAGAACTACGCCCGACGTGATATCCAGCCGCAACCCTCAAACTTTCGAAAATCTCATCAAAACCTGCAAAATAACCAAGAAATCCCACATGCAATCGGCCCAAAGTACTGCATTTCCATCAAGCATCACGAAAAACCTCTCATTTCCAACATGCAACCATAGAATCAAGAAAACCCAAATTTTTTTGAAATGAAACCCCAAACTCCCTAAAAATCCATTTTTTTTTTGCAATCACCACCCAGAATCAACAACCATCAATCAGAAATTGAGTTTCAAGAACTTGTTTGCAACCAAAATCCACAAGAACTAGCTTCCCTTACCTCGGGCAAAGATTCTGAGCTTTGGGACACCGAAAAGAGAGGAAATGGAGAAGAAAGCGAGATGACTTCGGTTCAGCTAGCTCCACCTACTCTATGATCAGCACCTTCCACTACAAGTCCACCAAAAGGAATCAGGAATTGGAAAGGAATGGGGAGAAAAGAGAGAAAGAGTAGAGAGTCAGGGTTCGGGGGGAAAAGTAAAGGAAGAATAAAAGGAAAGTGGGTCTTACAGTGGGCCTATGGTTCTCTTTACTTGGACTTTACATAGATGACCACTTTTCTCATATATTTGGTAGTATAGGAGTTTATATTGTTTGGTCTTGTATTATGGGCCTTAGTATAAGACTTTTTGGGTTTTAAGCTTATTGGGCCTAATTTTGGGCTTCATGGGCCCTTGGACTTTTGATTGCTTCAGAGCTTAGTGAACCCAATGGGTTTGGTGGGCCTAGGGGTCTCTTTACTTGGGCCTTACATGGATGACCACCTTTCTCATATATTTGATAGTATAAGAGTTTATATTGTTTGGTCTTGTATAATGAGTCTTAGTATAAAATTTTTTGGGTTTTAAGTTTATTAGGCCTAGTTTTGGGCTTCATTCATAGGATGTTTGATGTCATTGAGGAAAATGTCGAGATGTAAAACTAAAACTAACAAATTTTTTGCAATGATTTAAATGAGAAAAAATTATATTTATAGTAGAAAATTTTGTTTGGTGTTATTTTCTAATTAGAATTAGAAATTTATACATATAATTAATGTAAACCTCTAATTCTAATAGAAAAACATTATCAATTGAAAAACTATACTTAAATTTTAAATGTAATTTAGTAGAATGAAAAAAAAATATTATTTTGTTTAAAAAAAGTTTTTATAACAAATATGTAGTTAGAACGACCCGTTCCGATTTTAGAACGGCCCGTTCTGGTTTAATTGGTAATGTGTTATTTCTGAATCTGGAACGGGCTGTTCTGAACGTGAAGTCATGTGTTGTTTTTTCATCTGGAATGACCCGTTCTGATTTCAGAACAGGCCGTTCTGAACGTGAAAACGGAAGAGTGGAAGTTGCGTAAATAGATTTTTTTTGGGTAAATTATTTTTTTTTAAAATTATTTTAATAAAAAATTTGAAAACTTAGTGTGTATAATAAACTATTAGATTAGATGCATCTAATGGTAAAGATTCATGGTGCATGATGCACCTCTTGGACTTCACCTTGAAAAAAAGGGAGACTTAATAGCAAAATTTTATAACTTCAAATTTAACTTGACATGGCACACTTAAATGACATGTATATAAATTATTGGTCCACGTATAAAAGGTAGCAAAACCCTTCCAAAAACGAGGGTGCGGTAGAATTAGTTTAGTAATTTTTTATCGTATCACTTCGCTCCCCTTAATACATTCAATTATTTCTTTGTAATGAAAAATAAGTTTTTATTGCTTAGAATTATCTCTGTCTAATATTTTTTTTTTGGTGAAAATTAACCTTTGTATAATGTTCTCCATGAACTTGAGCTCCAAATTCTTTTGACATAACTATGTGGCATGCTAGAGCCGAGAAATGCCACTTCTTACCACATGATTATGGGCGTTTAACATGAATGCTAATAAAGTAGTACTTGAAAATGAGCCGTATCTTACTATTTTTTAATTTGGACAAAAATTGATGATTCGGCTTTATCTAGAACATCATGGCATGGTGCCCCATTACTTCAGAAATCTTTGGAAGCCAAACCCATACATGAGTTTTACTTGCGAGGACTCTATTTGGAGGTTTTGACAGACATATAAAGGATCGATGCATTGCATGGTGTGTTCGTCTAAAAAATATTTCAATATTTCATGTGATATAGATATATAGATTGAAGGGGTTAAAAAGGAGAAAAGATGCAACTACTGTAAATTGAAAGGCATTGGACTGAGAGCAACATAAATCGGAAGTCTAAAGTTTTGTCCAATAGGTTGTGGCCGACATGGTAGCACCGTGGTCATATTGTGATTGTCTCATTATCTTTTTGGTCAAAAAAACAACATGGTACATCTATCTATCTAGTAATAGTAAGAGTTTAAGTTAGGATTATTGGGAATTGAATGCGCATTAAATTATTGGCTATCAAATTCAAAATGTCAAACGTATTCCTGACGGCAGGCAGGGCATGTGAGTCACGTACCACCTGTCCAGTGCAGTGTCCACACCACACCCATCTCACTCAATCCTTGACCCTTATTATGTTTTTGGTTACATGGAGAAAAATATGCAAGAGAAAACCAACAACGTATTCTTCAATATATTAATTTTTATTGATTAAAAACTATAAAATTAAAAAAAAAACAATTAAATAGAATATGAGAGTCTCACACTTTGTATTTTTTAATATATTTTAACTAATTAGAGAATGTGTTTAAGAAAAGTGTATTGTTGTCATTTTAAATACGAAATAAGATGAAGGGAAATAAAAAAGATATATAAATACTAAAAAGAGAAATAAGTGAGTAAAAATAAGTAAGAGATTGAATTAAAATGAAAATTAGTATGTTTGATTTAAGAGAAATATGTGAAAAATAAAAGAGAAATAATATTATAAAATTATTTAGTTTGAATGAAACAGAAAAAATAGATTATAATATAAATAACTTTACTAGTTTATCCTTCTACGATTAGTTATGCGTGATGTTCCCGTAATATTTTTTGAATCAATTGAGTTTAGTCAACAATCAATTGAGAGAGAATTTTTAGTAGAAATTTATTCTAAGAATTGAATACAAATGTTTTTTTTAGTAAGACTTGAAATTTCCCATAATCATGTGATCTTTTGTTATTCAAACTAATAATCTATTAGTTTTTAACTCCAGAGTATGAGAAAAGCTAAAATCACGATTTGTATGTGTTCAAGACTTTAATAAATGTAAAAATAACTTAAAATACTTGAATTTTGAGAAGAAAAAATAGAATGGGAGATTTTACAAAATTAAAATAATAAAAAGTTCGAAGAAAATAGTTTATTTTGTGGAGCCAGCCCAGCAAATGGTACAATCTTGTAGTATAGATAAATCCGTTTGTTGAAAATAATATACCCCATGAACCACGTATTAAAGTTATCCACACTAGTCTCTTTTCGAGCTTATTTCTGAAATAATTTTGTTATCTAAGAGGTTTACTTTTCTTTATCAACTTATTTTCTGGGCAACAATTTTGGTTGAATTGTTTTTATCAGAATTTACAAGTATTTTAATGACGAGATGATGTTTTAACTATTCATATTAAAAGATATTTATAAACACACTCGGACTTTCAAATTATAGGAATTTAAGTTAAAAATAAGATTATGATAAAATGATATCTCATGTCTTATATATAGATGATTGATCTTATTTTTAGATTTTGAAATAATATTATATGATATCTTAAAGATGTATTATGATAATGTGTGGAGATATTATTATTCAATAGTAGAAATATTATTCATAATAAATGAAGATATTTCGTTAAGTGATATATTCATGTCAAAATATTCTAATAGTCATTGTGAGGTAATTACTTATAATTTCACTTTGTGATGATAAACTAGAAGTTCATTGTAAGCAAATAAAAGAAGATCAACTCGACCTAATCAAACTTAATTAATGGTACATAAACTTTTCTTTTTCTTTTCAAGGTTGTATTTTTCAATGTCAAAAATTCTCTGTGAAATTTTTTTTAGTTACCAAGTTGACAACTTTCAAAATAATAATAATAAGATTACTAAATAGTTTGAGACTTTGGAAAAAAAAATATAGGAGAAAAGGCTTACTTTTTTTAAAACATAAAAGGATTGAGTTTTAATGACAATTTTACTATAAACAAGTTGAAACTTCTTTTCTAACATCATTTGATAAATTTTCTTTAACAAAAATCACCATAAATAGGGTAAACCAGTGAACACAAGTAATGAAATACAGTTAAGAGTTGAGTAAAATTTTATCACTTTCCTCAAATTAAATTATAAGTTACAACTTAATATTTTTATTATTATTGGAATTATAATTTGAATTAAAGACCTCATGTATATTATTTTAACTTTCACCACTAGTTTGATTATAATATTAGTGACTCAATTATAACTTAATATAATTGTTTAATTTTAATACTCTAAATTAAATCTTTGTTGATCTCCTAACTAATATAAAATTACCTTGGTTAATAAAACTCTAATCCCCACCATTAGATCAAATCTAGCAATTCAATTACAACTTAATATACATACTTTAAGTTAACTCTTTGTTAATTTCCTATGCATACTAGTATTTGTATTTTAGAAAGTACTTTATGAAAGTGTTTTATTTTACATAATTTCAAAAAAGAAATTGTAACAATAAGTTTAACGTTTTGAAAAGTACTTTTTGAAAGTACTTAAAAAAATACAATTTCAAAAGTATGTAAAAAAAACAATTTCAAAAAATACTTTCCAAAATATTAATTTTATTATTTTAAAAAGTACTTTTTAAAATATCAAAATTAATATTCTAAGAAGTATATTTTGAAGTCCTAAATTTAATGTTAAGGTCTGAAAGTATGAAAGGGAAGGAAATATTAGAAGAAAAAAATGCACATATAACTGGACACCTTTAACATTGTAAAGAAAGTTACACGTGCTTACATCATCATCATCATGCACCAATTTTATGGCTTGGGTGTATATAAAAACTGAAATAGGGAGTGAAGAGAATAATGTGAAAATTGAAAGAATTAAAACTATATATTGGATAAGGTATAAAAAAAAAAAGGAAAACAAGATGATTCATGTGACAATCGAAAGGAATAGAGAAAAAAATGTGCGAAAAAGTGAAAAAAAAAAAAGTAATAAATTGAATATTGAATGTGTAAAATTATAAATTAAATAAAAAAAAGATTAATGATATTTTAGAATTTTTTGTAAAAAAAAAAAAAATGGAATTGGAGATGGAAGCATTGGAGAAAAACAATACTTGGAAGCTAGTCACCCTACCACCTGGAAAAAAACCGGTTGGGTGCAAGTGGGTTTATACAGTGAAATACCGGGCTGATGGGACGATTGAGAGGTATAAGGTGAGGTTGGTGGCCAAAGGGTTCACTCAAACATATGGAGTGGATTACTTGGAGACTTTTGCACCAGTTGCCAAAATGAACACGGGCAGAGTAATTTTGTCATTGGCAGCAAACCACGATTGAGACTTGCAACAATTTGATGTAAAAAATGCAGTGTTAACCCAACTTAACTTTCACACTATTAGACATGGGTTCATCTTAATAAATAAAGAGTCGGGCCCATTATACTTGGGCTGGATATTTGAGTTGGGCTCATCATAACAAAAAAAACTCGAATTTATATTTTAGTATTTTCAGGCCAGTTGGCACGCATAAGAGGACACCATTACAAAAAGTTGATGAAAATCGAAAAAGAAAACAAGTTCACTGCAAATGAAGTATTAAATATGGTTTTAGTTGTTAAATTTGTTATTCATTTTTATTTTTAGCTTTTGAATAATAAAAAATTAGTTTAGGATTTAGAAAAAAAAATCAATAAAAGTTAAAAGACTAAAAACATATAATTAAAAAAAAAATCCAAGACTAGTGCTGAATTCATAAAATAAAGTTGAACATTCTAAAATTAGTATTTAATTTTTGTCATAATAAGGGTGGATCCTCGGTTTAAACAGAATCCAGTGAATAATATTTATAAAAAATAATAAAGGATAATGATCATACATAGCAGATAGCAGAAGTTATTAGTAATGATTGTTAACATAACTGTTAGAATTAGAAGGCACAACAGAAGTGGTTGTGTTTGCACATGTTTTTAGAAGACATTACAGCTTACAGGTGAGGTGGGGCAAGAGAAAAGCTTGAAGGCTTCAACGGCTTGGCTGCAACTGAAAGCAACCCAAGCTACAGCTAACGTATCCAAGGCAAATGTGAATGGGTTATGGGACCGTTGCCTTCGTTCCAATCCAATTCTCCCTTGTTGGGCCGCTAGTAGGCCCACCTTCACTGGAATAACACCGTTACATCCGCCCCTCCTAGCTGGCACTCTTTGCTCCTTCTCTATAACATTACCCCCTCTCTTCACTTCACTTCACACTTCACACTTCACACTTCACATCACATTCTCTCTTTCTTTTCTATTTTTGTTTTCTTCACACCAAAGAATTTGTCACTGTTAACCATGGCCATGGCCGAGGAACTTCAACAGACAAACATATCTCAAGACCAAGTGCTGCCAGTGGTCCCTCACGTGGCACCTGCTGACAAACCAGACACCAACGTTCTTGTCCCCGAGGACAAAAACACACAACACAAACAAGAAGAAAAAGAAGCCTCGCTGGAGAAGGAGAAGGAGAAGAAGAATGCTGCTGAAACCGAAACCGAAACCGAAACCGAAAACGAGGTTTCCAAACCGGACGAGGCCATTCCGGAATCCGGCTCGTTCAAGGAAGAAAGCACCATCGTCTCCGACCTACCGGAATCCGAGAAGAAGGCTCTGCAGGAACTCAAGCACCTCGTTCAAGAAGCGCTCAGCAAACACGATTTCTCCGCAGCGGAGAAAGAAGGTGAGAGCGTGACGGCGGTGGCGGAGGAGAGTGCCGAAGAGGTTTCGATTTGGGGAGTGCCTCTGGTTGCGGACGAGAGGAGCGACGTGATTCTGCTCAAGTTTCTGCGCGCGAGGGACTTCAAGGTGAAGGAGGCGATGGCGATGATAAAGAGCACGATTCGGTGGAGGAAGGAGTTCGGGATGGAGGAGCTTTTGTTGGAGGAGTTGGGTGACGACGATTTGGCCAAAGCGGTTTACATGCATGGCTTTGACAAGGAGGGGCACCCCGTGTGTTACAATGTGTATGGTGAGTTTCAGGACAAGGAGCTTTACAAGAAGACCTTCTCCGATGAGGAGAAGAGGGTTAGGTTTCTGAGGTGGAGGATTCAGTTCCTGGAGAAGAGTATCAGGAAGCTGGATTTTGCACCTGGTGGGATATGCACCATTGTTCAGCTCAATGATCTTAAGAATTCTCCTGGACCTGCTAAGTGGGAGCTTAGACAGGCTACCAAACAGGCCCTGCAATTGCTTCAGGATAATTATCCTGAGTTTGTAGCCAAACAGGTACTATACTATTACTATGCTAATGCCATCCTAAATTCAATCCATCTTTTAAATATGCGGTTGGAAGGGGAGGTTTGGTGAGGTTCTTGAGGAAGATTAGTAATTGGTCAAACAGATAGAAAATAAGAGACTACGTTAAAGATTATTAATCAGTAAGGATACTTAATTAATACCATAAGATGGGCCAAAGGATCCATAATCCTTAAGACAATAGAGCCTTGACATTGTGCTCCAAATTGCTTTTAATATATTGATTCAATCATAAATTATTTGTTTACCTTCAATTTCCAACACTAGTATTGGCAATTTCAATGTGTAATTGTCTATTGTAATTTCTTGATGTGAATTCTTTTTTTTGTTTTGTTGGTGTAGCTGTTTATCAATGTACCGTGGTGGTACTTGGCAGTGAACAGGATGATAAGCCCTTTTCTTACTCAGAGAACCAAAAGCAAGTTTGTCTTTGCTGGGCCTTCCAAATCGGCTGAGACTCTTTTGAGGTGAACACACGATACACTCAATTTTTTTTTTTTTTTTTTTTTTTTTTTTTATTGAGTTGCTTAATTTGTTCTATGGATATTTTAGATACATTGCTGCGGAGCAACTTCCGGTTAAATATGGTGGACTAAGCAAAGATGGGGAATTTGGAATTTCCGATGCTGTTACAGAAATTACAGTGAAGCCAGCAGCAAAACATACCGTGGAGTTTCCGGTTACTGAGGTGGGTTTCGTTTTCCTTTGTGTTTTTTTGTCGGAATTGACTGGTTTCAATTCAGGGGGAATCCAATGAATGCGACATTGGAATGCGGAATTTTCCTAGGATTCCTCTCTTCTCAAGAATTTAATATTACGTTGCTGCCTACTATTTCTCATGTTTCATGCGACAAATTAGGCAGACCCATGCCCCGAGATGAGACTTGTCTCGGGGGCAATACACCATAAATTAGTATGTAAGTAAGAAAAATAAAATAAAGATGGAAAGACTATACTCCAATTGGAAACATAATTGACCTAATTTATTTCAGTTCTAAATATAGCCAAGAGTCAAAATCCTTTTCCGCTGCTAATTCAGTTGATGTTTTCTATCATCTAGGCTATAGAAAACAATAACTCTGATGCTTACTAAGGTTGAATACATATTTTTTTAAAAAGATTAGAAGATTGAATTGAATATTTTAAAAATAGTGAGATCAAATTAAATATTTTAAATTATTTAATCTGATCATCTAATTTTTAAATGATGTTCAATATTGTTATTTCTTCAAATTTTATTAACATTATTAATGTCAATTGGACAAAAAGATAATATAAAATATTTTTAAAAAAATTAGAGGATCAAATTAAATCATTTAAAAATAATGGAACTTAATTGAATTTTAAAAATAAATAAAAGAATTAAAAATATATTTAAACTTAAATTAATAAGTGATCTTGAATACAAATAAGAAAAAGATTTTGTTTAACAAAATTGTATATTATTTTTTATTATTTATTTCTTTTCGTCATATTATTTATTATATTTATTAATGATGGTGAGAGATAGACACATTAAATTGTACAAATTGATATCTATATGTGTATCATTACTCTTTCAAATATTGTAGCTCATTAAAACCGGTGAGAAAGTTCATATTAAATAAGAGGATCCTGCATCCAACAATTTTGTTAAACTCAAAGAAGACAACGAAGAAGTCCTAGATAAAAAAAATTCAACAGTCTATCCTATCATTAATCTATAGCTAATGATTTTCATTTCATTTATTTATGGAGTTAAATAGTTAAGCACTTAAGCTCAAGCTCAACCCAATAAGTCAAGGGATTAAATTAGTAAATGAAAACCTTGTGTAGTTCAAGTGGTTAGATTAGTAATTGAATGCTACTCTAAAGCTATTCCATTGTTGAGCAGTTGCCTTGATAACCTTTTGTAATGCATTGAAATTTTGATCATGCAGAGTTGCCTACTCTCTTGGGAGCTCAGAGTAATAGGGTGGGATGTAAGCTATGGTGCAGAGTTTGTGCCAACTTCAGAGGGAAGCTATACTGTGATAATCCAGAAGGCTAGAAAGGTTGCTTCATCAGAAGAACCAGTGCTTTGCAGCAATTATAAAATTGGTGAACCTGGGAAAGTGGTTCTCACCATTGACAATCAAAGCTCTAAGAAGAAAAAACTCTTGTACCGTTTGAAGGTCAAGCCTTCCTCTTCTGAATGAGCAGTATCTACATTGATTCCTTCATTAAGTTCTTGCATTCATCACTTCTACCACCCAAGATGTTCAAAGCTTCTTCAAAGATGGACTTTGCTGCTCTTCATAAGAATGGGAAAGTTTTAATGTTGATCGTGATCATGTGTTTCAATCATATATACCTTTTTTTGCTGCGTTTCTTTAATTATTTATTATTGTTATTGTTATCATTGTTGGAGGGGATCTTTTGATTTTTGAATTCTTCATATTCATATATGGAGGACATAATTGCTCTATTTATTTATCTGTATAAATTTCATGTAAATTTTGGTGGGGCCTTTTTCTCTATATGCTTGTCTTTTTGTCTGTACCCAAGCTTAAAAATATGTTAATTTGATCTGTCATGATTCGTGTTCTCAGCACTTTATAGAAAATATCTATCATGGGTCTGGGCTTCTAGAATATGTCGCACTCTAGTGTAGACTTTAGATCAGCTTTGTTATTTGCCATCTTTAAGCCTTGGATTTTCTCTGCCGTTGTTGGATTTCAATCAGATGCACAAAGGTAACTTCCATAGTTAATGTGTGTCTTGGTTTACATTTTTTCACCAGAAAAAAAAAATAAACTCACTATTTCCAGGATACAAGCGATTCAAACAAATACGATTTTGAAATTTGAAGACTTAGGATTACTTTTAAGATCAACACAATTACACAAGTTTTATCTTTTAAGACATGGGTCCTGTCCATTGTGAACCGGTAGTTTCTTATTGTTAGTTATGTCAACACGAGAGATTTGAGAATATTATTGTTAGTTATGTCAACAACTTACTTAAAGTTTACTAACAAGAATGACATGGTTGATAAATTATATATATTCTTATTTCTTAAGCTCGTGAATAAAACATATTAATCAAAAGAGGTCAATTCATTAAGTTAGTCTTAGTATCTTAAAAGATTAATTCTTAATGTTCGATCGACAATATTTTGGTTTAAAAAAAAATACAAGTTGCTTAGAGTTTTTTATTATATTAGATAAAGTATTTGATATTTTTCTAATTGCTTAAAAATATTTGAATTTAAATGCTTCCAAAAGAAAAGAAAAAAAACATCCCTATAATTAAAATTATAATTTTCCATAACCAGGAATGCTGTATTTAGATTATAGTAATTGTTTTGTTAGGTCAGCAAATTGTGGTCCTTGGTCCTCTTGAGTATTATTTATTTGAATGCAATGTGTCTGCCATAGCAGAAGACATTCGGGGTCCATATAATATAACATATTCAATGTACAGTGTCCGCTTTTACTTTTTATTTTTTCACCGAATTTCATCATAAAACCCACTCATTATTATATCTTTGTATCCGTTTAAATATGTTTTTGTTTTTATGTGGCTGTTCTGTTTCCCTTTGTTTTTTCATACACCCTTTTTGAGTCTTTTAAGGCATGAAGAACAGGACGAGGAAGATCATCATTTAGACCAGCAATTATATTGAAGTGTTTCTTTATTTAGGTGAATCAATGCATAAACCTGATACTTTAACATAAGAAAATAAACAATAATAATCGGACTAAAAGGGCTGATTTGTTTAGACAATTAGAAAATTGGATGATTTATAGCTTCAGATAACTTAAAAAGCAGTGGATTCGTCGTTGTACTCACTTCAATTGATATTACACAGAACATGAATCAAGTGTGAGTTTATTTATTTATTTTTTTAAAGAGAACATTATTTAAAAAAAAAAAAGATAAATTTTCTTATTTTAAATTCATTAATTGTAAACTTTCACTCGACAGACTAGATAAATAAATAAAAACTTGGTTGAATTGGTAAAATAACTAATTTAGTTACTAAAAATAAAATAAAAAATCAACAAAGTCGATGTATAATAATGAAATAAATTTTGTTATCTGAACGAATAAAATTTAATTATTTTATCTGAATAATTTTAAGAATGAAAATGAGAGAATTTTCACTACCTAAGGGCTAAGACCATTTAATAATAATTAGTAATTTAGTCTTTGAAGTGTCTAGGATATATATTTAGGATATATAATTGAAATTTATAATTAACTATATAAATAAATATTGTATTTAAATATATAGATTATATTATATAATACTTAAATTTTATATAAATAAATATTTTTAACATATAATTGAATTTAATATTTATAATAAATAATTTATATTGTGACAATAATATTTTAATTATTTTATAGAAAAACATTTTTAATCAATAATAATATATTAATAATATTAAATTTTAATTTGAAATAAATATGATAATTATGAATCTAATAAATAAGAATTTAAGAAAATTCCAACAAATTCTCTGAAAAACGGTTAAAAATGATTTTGTTAAATAATTTTTTTAATAAATGTTTTTATGAGAGATAATTTTTCACATATATATATATAAAGAGAGAGAAATAAGATTTTCACTTACTCTAAATCTAAACTCATGTTTTATATTTACTCATGTTTTTATAATTTTAGTATAATTACTTTACTCGATAATTCATATTTTATGTCAAATTTTAATTATTTAATTATTAAATTAAAAGTTCATAATACATCAATCAAGTCTATAAATTTTTAAAATATTTAAAAATCATGTGATGTTTCATTATACTTTCATTTGAATTATATAAGGAAATATATGATTTTTAAATTTTTTAAAAATAGAATAAATAAAATTCAAATGATATAATTTGAATTTCAAACAATTGTAAAGTCCAAAAAAATTTAATTTGTTAATTCAAATTCAATATGGCAATGTTATTAATTAATGAAGTAAAATTGTATTTTTAATTGAACACAACATTAAAAGCATGAAAAGTATTACACGTAATCATCAATATATATGTCTGTATGCAAAGAGTTGAGTTTGATCTTGAGCAGAAACAATTTTTAGTCAGACTTACTTATCTCTAGATTAAAGTAGAAGAGTCTAAGATAAAATCTTAAAATACTAGTGCGACAAAAAAAATTGAACTCATTTTTAAGTATGATTTACGATGTTTTATCTTATTAATGAAAAAATAACAATTAAAATAAAATATTTCATTTCAAGTTTTTAATAAAATTCATTATTAACAAAGTACATTTTATATAAAATCAATATATTTCGTATCTCTATATTTTATTTAAAAATTTACTATATAAATAGAATAGATTAACAAATTTACATTACTAGACTTCTCTAAATTTTGTCACATGTTATAGTTTGGACTCATTAAGTCTTTTTATTAATACTTGATTTTTTTTAATTTAAAAAATAAAATATGATTGGAATCCTAACTCAATACTATAATAAAAAATAGAATATGATTCTGAATAATTCATACAATTCAATTCTAACTTCATATTTCACATGCAACAATTTATCAACAAGAACTCAACAATATCAACTTTGTGAGTTCAACAACTCATAATCCCAACTCTTAAACTCAACTTTAAAAAGTACAATTTCTCAACATAAAAGTTACTAATGGATGAATCAACAATATATACAACATAAATCAACTTCAAGGAATTAAATAACAAGTTTCTCTTACCACAATCAACTTTTTACAAGTTAGAAATCAAGAAAAAGAGGAGGAACAACAAAAGCTCCCTAAGATTCACTTTTTCCTTCTGATTCGAGCTCCATAAAACTTGAACGTACTTGGAAAACTTGATCTCAATTTTAGAGAAAAATATAGACACTTCCAGAGGGATCCAATGTAGAAAAAGATATTTCCAATCCCATATATTCTCTCTCTAACTTTTCTCTAAAATATTTAAAAATAAAACTTATGAATTTTTTGTTTCTAAAATCTCTACTTCTTCCCTTTTTTTATCTAACTTGACCTCAACTTAAACGACATACAAAAATTCAAAAATCATAAATTCCTTAACCATTAACTAAAAACACAACTAGTAACATATGACATCATAAAACACAAATTCGTCTAACAAGCATATATATAAAAATGCAGTGTTACAACTATATCCCAATTAAATCCACATGATTAAGTTCTTTAAAATAGATATAGTAAAATAAATCTACTTTTATATTGTAAAAATATTATAATATTATATGGTGAGACTTTTTAATTTGTATAATCTGATTTTCATTTCTATTATTTTTAATTAGATGTTTTAAATATATTTTTTATTTTTAAACCTGTATTGGATCCTTTTTTTTTTTTTTACTTTATCAATTTATTATTTATTTTATAATGATCCAATGGATCATACCATTTGGGTATAACTCATGATATCACATAAAAAAATAAGTTGAATATTCTATATTTTTATACATAAATGCGTGTATATATATATAGAAAGAGAGAATAATCTATTTATTTTGAAAGTAAGTCTACTTACACTTATTTTACTCAATAATTAATGTTTGATAACAAATTTCAATTATCCAACCATTAAATTAAATATTCATAATATATAGATTAAATTTATAAATTTTTCCAACCGTTGAATTTATAATTCTTAATACATAAATCAAATTTGTAAATTTAAAAATATTTAAAAATTATTTAATATCTTATTTCATTAATTCAAATTAATATATAAAATATTTTTATAATTATCCGTCAATTTGAGAGAGATGACAGATCTACTTTAATAATAAGTCTATTGAAACTTAGTTTACTTAATAACTCATATTTTACATAAAGTTTTAATGATCCAACCATTAAACTAAAAAAAAATTAATACATAGATTAAATTTACAAAAAATTTTAAAATTAAAAATTATTTAATATTTTATTTTATTGATTCAAATTATCATATAAAATACTTTTATAATTTTCTATCAATTTAAATCAATAAAGTGCAGTATTAAATAATTTTTAAAATTTTTTAAAACTTTGTAAATTTAATTTATGTATTATAAACTTTTAATTTAACAATTAGATTATTAAAATTTAATGTAAA